CCAAGAGGGGCCTTGAATTTCCCAGTCACTATCTTCTTCCGGTATGTCTTTTTGTTACTCAATGGCTTCGTGAGTGGTGCAACTAACCAGGAGAGAAAAAGTCCCCGTGGAAGGAAAAAAATAGTCGTGGAACCGCCTCCCTGAACACCTCGTGTGAACTACGAGGCCCGCCGTTTAGGTCCTCAACTAAACCTACTCTTGACACTGGTTTTGGTGTAAACAAGTCAATCCACGACGGCTTTCCACGCAGGTTCTGGTCCCTGCGGACCGTCTTAAACTACCCTACGCCTTCAACAGACGTCTCACCGCTACCTCCGACTCGTCACCATGGCTACCTCTTTTATTTCCAAACGACTTCGCTCCACCGAGGAGGAACAGGAGGCCGAGCCCGGTTGGCTTCGCCGCCAGATTGTCTCTGGCCTGCAGTCAATCTCTCGCCGTGCCTGTGTGCACCCCATCCACACCATTGTGGTGATTGCCCTCCTTGCCAGCACAACCTACGTTGGTCTCCTGGAAGGCAGCTTGCTGGATACCGTCCGAGACCCGCGTAGCGTCGCTGGTCAGGTTGACACGGATGCTCTCCTCCAGGGAAGCCGCAATCTGCGGCTGGGCGAGTCTACTTCGTGGAAGTGGCAGGCGGAGGATGTCTGGACCGACTCTGAGGTAAGCGGCCACCGCCATTTATTCCATTTTGGATCAATTACTGATAAAATGGTAAAGGTTGAGAAGCCGGCGGCTCAGCACCTGGCACTGGCCACCTTGATTTTCCCGGATTCTACTTCCGCTGTTTTGACTGCTCCCGCCTCCGATGATGTGCCAATCCCTGCCAACATCTCCGCCACTTCGGTCCCGTATACCCCCAACCTCTTCTCGCAATTCACCCACGACTCTGCCCTGGCTTACACCGTGCCTTTCGATCAAGTGTCGGAGCTTTTGAAGGCGGTGCAGGAGATCCCCAGCCCGTCTGCGGATGAGGAAGAAGAGGAGTCTAAGAAATGGATCATGAGAGCTGCTCGTGGCCCCGCATACGGATCCCGCAGAGCTGTGAAGCTTTGGTTCGCAGACGCGTGGGGTTCATTTGTGGATCTGATCAAGCACGCCGAGACCATTGACATTGTTATCATGGCTCTCGGCTACATCTCGATGCACCTGAGCTTCGTCTCCCTCTTCTTCTCGATGCGCCGGTTGGGCTCCAACTTTTGGCTTGCGGCTACCGTGCTCTTGTCTGGCTCCTTCGCATTCCTCTTTGGTCTGCTGGTGACCACCAAGCTCGGTGTGCCCATTAACCTCCTGCTGCTCTCCGAAGGCTTACCCTTCTTGGTTGTTACCATTGGATTTGAGAAGCCAATCATATTTACCCGGGCCGTTTTGAACGCATCTGTGGATAATCGCCGACCTCGTCCCGGTGCTGCTCCTCGCCCTCTGGCTTCGAGCACTCCGCGGTCCATTCAGGAGTCTATCGCAGCTGCAATCAAGGACCAAGGTTTCGAGATTGTTCAGCACTACTGCATTGAGATTGGCTTGTTGGCTCTGGGTGCCGCATCTGGTGTTCAGGGCGGTCTCCAGCAGTTCTGCTTCCTCGCGGCCTTGATCTTATTCTTTGACTGCGTGCTTCTCTTCACCTTCTACACCACCATCCTCTGCATTAAGCTCGAGATTACTCGTATCAAGCGTCACGTGGCTCTGCGCAAGGCTTTGGAGGAGGACGGCATCACCCACAGTGTCGCTGAAAACGTTGCCTCCAGCAATGACTGGCCTCGCGCAGGATCTGGTAGCACCGAGGCTGATGCCAGTATCTTTGGACGTAAGATCAAGTCTAGCAGCGTGCGCCGGTTCAAGATCCTCATGGTTGGCGGTCTGATCTTGGTCAACGTTGTGAACATGTCTGCCATTCCGTTCCGTAACACCGGTAACGGTGGTCTCCTGTCCCGCTTCTCCAGTGTCTTGGCCCCTACGCCCATTGATCCTTTCAAGGTGGCAGAGAACGGCCTGGATAGTGTGTATGTTGCGGCCAAGAGCCAGAAGCAGGAAACCATTGTCACCATTCTCTCGCCCATCAAGTACAAGTTGGAATACCCCTCGGTCCACTACGCAGCTCCCACGGAGTCTAGCTCGTTTGACATTGAATACACCGATCAGCTTTTGGACGCTGTGGGTGGAAAGGTTCTTGAGAGTCTCCTCAAGAGCGTCGAGGACCCTTTCATTAGCAAGTGGATTATCGCTGCTTTGACCCTGAGCATCATTCTCAATGGCTATCTCTTCAATGCTGCTCGTTGGAGCATCAAGGAACCCGAAGCCGCCCCCACTCCTGTGGAGGTCGTGGCTGCACCCAAGGTCTACCCCAAGTTTGAGCCCAACGAGGAAAAGTCTACCCGCACCCCCGAGGAATGCGAGGCTCTTCTAAAGGAGAAGCGTGCCCCGATTCTTACCGATGAGGAACTGATTGATCTTTCTCTCCGTGGAAAGCTCCCCGGCTACGCCCTGGAGAAGACCATGGAGGATGAGAATCTGATGAGCCGTGTTGATGCCTTTACTCGTGCGGTCAAGATCCGCCGTGCTGTTGTCTCCCGTACGCCTGCCACCGCTGCTATCACTGCTACTTTGGAGGAGTCCAAGCTCCCGTACAAGAATTACAACTATGGTCTCGTCCACGGTGCTTGCTGTGAAAACGTTATTGGTTACCTGCCCCTTCCTCTCGGTGTTGCTGGTCCTATCAATATTGATGGTCAAAGCTACTTCATCCCCATGGCTACTACCGAGGGTGTGCTTGTGGCTTCCACCAGTCGTGGCTCCAAGGCCATCAACGCTGGTGGCGGTGCCGTGACTGTCCTGACAGGTGACGGTATGACTCGTGGTCCTTGTGTTACTTTCCCTACGCTTGCTCGGGCTGCCGCTGCCAAGGTCTGGATCGATTCTGAGGAAGGCCACAGCATTATCACCGCTGCTTTCAACTCGACTAGTCGCTTCGCCCGTCTCCAGACCCTGAAGACTGCCCTTGCTGGTACCTACCTCTACATCCGCTTCAAGACCACCACTGGTGATGCCATGGGTATGAATATGATCTCCAAGGGTTGTGAGAAGGCCCTGGATGTCATGTCCAAGGAGTGTGGCTTTGATGACATGGCTATCATCTCGCTTTCTGGTAACTTCTGTACTGATAAGAAGTCCGCTGCCATCAACTGGACTGATGGTCGTGGTAAGTCTGTGGTGGCTGAGGCTATCATCCCTGGTGACATTGTCAAGAGCGTCCTCAAGAGTGATGTCAACGCGCTCGTTGAGCTGAACGTCAGCAAGAACTTGATCGGAAGTGCTATGGCTGGAAGTTTGGGTGGTTTCAACGCCCACGCCTCTAACATTGTCTCTGCCATCTTCCTGGCCACTGGTCAGGATCCCGCCCAGAACGTTGAGAGCAGCAGCTGTATCACCACCATGAAGAAGTAAGTGGCTCTCTCTCCACATCTATGCCAGTGATACTAATGACATTACAGCAACAACGGCAACCTCCAGATCGCTGTGTCGATGCCTTCCATCGAGGTCGGCACCATTGGTGGTGGGACCATCCTTGAAGGCCAAGGAGCCATGTTGGACCTTCTGGGTGTCCGCGGTGCTCACCCAACCACCCCCGGTGAGAATGCCCGCCAGCTGTCTCGCATCATTGCCGCCTCCGTGCTGGCCGGTGAGCTCAGTCTGTGCGCTGCCCTTGCTGCCGGTCATCTCGTCAAGGCACACATGGCCCACAACCGCAGCGCCGCACCCACACGGTCCTCAACTCCCGTATCTGCAGCCGTCGGTGCCGCCCGTGGCCTTTCCATGACCTCCAAGTAAACGAAGACAACATGACTTGTTCCTCCTAGCCCGCAATTGCGGGCTTTTGTACATGTGTGGCCTATGACCCTCCGCATGCCACCACTCACGATGCAGAACCTCTTACTCTCTGACACACTCTCTTCATGGCGGTGCCTCTGGCTCGCCCTGTCTTTCTGCATTATGACCCCAGACTCTGGTCAGGATTTATCCATCAACGCTGCCTGTCCACACGGAGCCAGCTGATGGGCTTTCTGTCCTTATAACGGATCAATGATCCTGATGAGGCGTACTGAAGGGACAACCTTGGGAGTCCCATAATCTCACGCTTCAAAGCGGTAGTGACGCAGTCCTACATTTGTGTACTTAATGTTCCCTTTTCATGATAGACATTTCGGGTCGGAATGGAATTCAATTTTTTTTTAATCAAAAGTCAATCAAAGTAACCGCCAGGTCCCGACCGGCATAAATAATACGGTATGGTACTGCACAGATACCTAAGTGGTACCTACGTGGTACCGGGCGACGCTAATCTGGGGGCCGAAGGGCCTAGAATGTCAACTCCCCTTTTTCCTTTCGCTTAGATGTTTGGCATACAACAGGGGAATGGAACAAGAGAATAATAGAACAGACCAACAGAAGAGAATGTACTGAACTTCCACTAAGATATACTCCAACATAACTTATCTGATCTTGCATCCCTACAGTTGCACATGTACATGTTCAGCCCCTGTGTGGCTGTTCCCCTTGGCAGGGGAGTCTATCAATACGAGTACGAGTATGGTAACTTATAGAAAATATTTCGAGATTAGGCCATGAGTGGGATAGTGAGAGGAATGTTCACAGAATAAATAAAGATCAACCAAACCACATCCCCTGCATACCCGGTGATACAAGTTAATACTTGCACACTGTAAGGAGCGGGTCTTGAAAGTCCGGAGTTGACGGTCGAAATCACACTTTCTATTTCTCCTCTCCTTCACATTTGGAGGAGATCCATTTGCTCTTCTCTTCCTCATCTTACGCCCCATCTCACCCGGCTCCGTTGTCTCAGATCCTTGACATCGTGTGGAGAACACAAAAACACGGGGACACACTGCCGAATGCCTTGATCCGCCCCCTTGGATAAGGCCAACATTCTGAGAAGAGCCGGACTCTCACCATTTCGACCTGACATGAATGGGGGCTCGGGAGCCATGTCGCCAGTCTCCGTCGATGGAAGCGACTGGTCTGGACTGAACCAGTATGGAAAATCGGAATCCCCATTCTCACCAACATTCCCATCATCTCGCGCCAACCTAGCCACACCCCCGACCTCCGGCGTCCCCAGCGCACCCTTGAGCCCAAACGGCGGCGGCGGTCCTCCCTCACTATCCCCATCGAACCTAAGCAGCAACCCGTCCCCTCCCAGCTCCGTCGCCGCAAGATCAAGCATCGGCACAATAGGAGGAGATGCCGGCCCACGAGATGGCAGACGATACCGCCAGATGGAAGAGATCCTGGGCCAACACTATGTAGTCCTCCGACGATTTCTGAACGGCACAGCTCGCGAAGAAAACGGCAAGTCAAACAAAGCCCGCGACAAACTGCTACGCCTATCCCCGACCCAGTTCCACGAACTGTCAACAGATGTATACGACGAATTGATTCGGCGGCAGCAGGCCATGCCGCCTCCAGGCCGACCACCCCGTCCAGACGTACCCCCCTACCTCCCATCCCGCGCCGACTTCCACGAAAAGCGCAACCACGCCCGCCAAAAGCTGGCTGCGCTGCACCACCAGCGCTTCCGGGACCTCGCGACCGATGTCTTCTGTGAGCTAGAGCGCCGCTTCCCTCACTTTACCAGCCGGGAGTTTCGAGCACGCCCGCCCCCGAATATGCCCCCGGGCTCGAGGGGCTCGCAGCAGTCGAGGGGGCCTCCCTCGCGCATGGGTCGGGGTTATCCTTCTGGTGGGCCGCCGGGTAGTCCGTTCCCGCCGCGTGGTGGTTCTCTTGGGGGATCACCGGCTGGAATGAATGGGGATGGGCCGTTCCCTCGGGCTTTCCAGAGCAATACGATGGTTCCGAATAAGAGCACGATGGTTGAGGATAGTGATGATATGGGAGGCGAGGATGAGGATGATGCTCGTAGTGATGCTTTTGCGTTGGATGCTGTGTTGAGTCGTCGGGGGACTACGACGACTTTGGGTGATAGTGAGCGGAAGTTGTTGCTGGAGAGTCAGTCGCAGGTTTCGGCTTTGCAGGATAAGATTGAGAAGTTGGAAGAATTGGTTCGCTCCAAGGACGAGGAGTTGGCTCATTCGTCACAAGATGCGGATTCCTCTGGGGTATGTTTTGTTTGGGAAGAATGGAAAGTGATATTTGCTGACGATTTCCACAGATCAGCCATAATGAGCGACAGGAGTGGGATGACTTGCGACAGGAGCTTGAGAATAAGGTATCAAAAGCGGAGGACCTTAACAGCTCGCTCCAGCTTGAGCTTGAGAGAGTTCGGACAGAGCATGACACGATGGAACGTGACCTTCGCAGCCAGCTCGAAGAGTCTTCTCGGGGAGTCGAGGATGCTGGTTTGCAGTCGCGGTACGCTGATCTGGAAAACCAGCACCGGAGTCTGCAAGCAGCGCTGCAGCAGCAGCAGCAAGTAACCGACGAGGTCAAGCGGGAGGCGTCAGCTTTCCTCGTGGAAATGAAGACCCTCACAGCCGAGAGCCACGCAAACTGGGAACGCGAAGAACACTTGTCCAACGAAGTCCACCGACTGGAGGCAGACGCCAACGAATGGAAGCACCGCTACGCCAAGGTCAAGGCCCAGCTACGGCACCTCCGCACCTCATCCGGTGGCTTCGCCGACTCTAGACCCGACGCAAGGGTTTTCACCAAAGAGCACGAACTCGTCCAAGTGGACGGTCTGGTCAAAGATATCCACGTCACCAAATTCCAGATGTCAATCGACGAACTTCTCCGCGTTGCGCGATTCGAGGACTCACGAGTGGTACTCCAACAAATCAAGATGGTGGTCGTGGCCGTCCGCCATGTCCTCCAAGACGTGGACCACTCCCCAATCCCGGTGGATGGTACAGCTGCGCAGCGCACCAAGGCCAAGAGCCAGGTATCAAACACGGCAAACAACATGATCATCGCCACGCGCAACTTCGCCAGCTCTGGTGGTCTGTCTCCAGTGTCGCTCCTCGATGCTGCAGCTTCGCATCTTTGCACTGCTATCATCGAGTTGATCCGCATCGTGAAGATTCAGGCTTCGCCTGCGGATGAACTAGAGGATGAGGATGATGAGGAGGCGGATGTTTCTCAGACCCAATTCCCTGATTACTTTGATACCTCTGCTAGCCAGAAGCGGTTGAGCAATGACTCTGTCTACAGCGCTATGAGCCGTCCTGACGATTCTCAATTCCCTGCTATGCAGAATGGTTACACTAACGGTGTCAACCATGACGGTTGGGGTGTGCCGCAGGGTGACCACGAAGTGTTGGAACTGAAGGTAAGTCTTCTAATGCATGCTCGAATATATTGATGCTGACTGTTAATCCAGCTTCACGTCGAGAACCAAACCGACGGCATGGTCCAATCCATCCAGGCACTGGTAGCCAGCATCCGCGCCGGAGAACAACTACACACAGTCCAGACGCACGTCAACGACATCTCAGGCGTCGTCGCAAACGTCGTCAACTACACAGAGCGTCTGATGCATGAACGAAGTGGCGACGTTGCTCTACGGCAGACCTCTGAACCGGTTATCCACGCTTTGGAACAATGCCGCAACAGACTGGTAGCCACTGCAGAAGAGGGCCAAGACGCTACAACACCTGAGGAACTGCGCGAAGTCACGAATAAGCTGCCGCCCATTGCATTCGAGATCGCTCGTGAGACGAAAGATCTCGTTCAGCGTCTCGAGTCCATGGCGTCTGCCGATGATGAGGATGATTTCCGGTGATCATTGCTATTTTCTATTATAATATTGACTAGGGGCTATCATTACGCACAACTACACAGCTACGCTTCCATCTCCAAGTGCTTGTATCAGACGTCATACATCATACCCCATGTCCCCCAACCCCGTTTCCTTTCCCTTTCCTCTGTCAAATCTCAATATCTACATCTATATTCCATCCTCTTTGCCCCTTGCTTTTCAGCGAACATTATCTATGGCAACGAGTGGACAATGTCGAAACGATGTTCCGACGCGTGTGGCATTCATGGTCTCTTTTCCTTTTACGTTTTCTATCTGTTTGTTTTATTCCTCTATCTATCTACCTCCCCCTTTTCACTTCTTCTTACTATTCTATGTACTTTATTTTCAAACCTCACCCGTTCTCACTTTCCTTGTGTGCTGTTGGTGTATTTCTCACGACCTCGGCGTCGGCTTGTTACCTTTTCTTGCATTCTGCACTTGTGCAGTTGAAATGAATAACTACCTGCTCTTTTACTTGTTTCTACTCGACTCTACTTTACCGATACGATAGTGTCTACATGCCTCTACTTTACTGGAACTCGAATCTTTCCCTGCCAAAGATTCTTGATTGAGAGAGCCACCCTTCCTGGTACAAATATCATCAAAACAAAAACATTAACTGGCGGTGGGATCTTATTGAATGGCCCGGAGGCCCGCAGCATTCCAACTTCTGCTCTGTAATGCACCATGTCAGTAGGTGTTTCTCAAAGTGAGGGCAATTCAAATTGGAGAGGGCTCAAACAGGCATGATGCTTCATTGTAACTAGGTATATATCGATGTTATGTAAATAGCAGTATAAATAGCTTCAGCTAGATTTTACTTCGAAGTCAGAATAATCTCACTCAGAATAATCTCACTCTCAACTTACAGGACTTCTTACGCTACTTGGCCAGCTCCGCCTTCGAATTTTCGGAGGCGCATCTTCTGGCGGCTACGCTTATAGTTAGCTCCTCATTCACTTCCCCGTCTGTCCATGTATGTTTTCTCGACCTCGGGATGCCAGATGACATCTGAAAGGCCCTAATACCTAGGTATTCTCAACAAGTAAAGAAGCAAAATTTAGGCCTGCTCAATATATCATTGTGTCCATTTTGATTCCCAGCAAGTGATTTTGCATACCAATGTAGGTATATTGTCTTCTAGCAGCAAGTAGACAAGCAAACCAGGACTTTCTCAATACAAAATCGCAGCCATTTTATCCTTAGCAAGTATTTTCCCAAGGAGCTTTCCAAAGAAGGGCTTTGCTTTCTCCGTATATGTCTTCTCGTAATATGACACCTCAATCAAATCAAATGGATTTTCGGAGCTATCATGTTCAACCCCCCATATTGCAAGTCGAATCATCCACGATGAGTAAGGGTTGTCAATTTGAACATCGAAACGTTCGTTGGTGTCTTTCTTTTCTTGCTCTGTAAGCTCAAAGCCTCGAGCCTTCCGACAACATCCACATTCAAGAGTACAATGCCCAACCCCAAGCTTACTTGGTGAACTGATTTGGCGGTCTGTGCAACACCCACAGCCCCGAGCACAACAGCCTTGCCTGCCAGCACAATCTTTGACAAGGCCTCGATGCATATACCATCTTGGGTGTGATCGCCATAGATCGAATGCTCTTGAATGGCATCCCTGGGAGAAGGTACTGCAATGCTGCCACCATCCTTGCTCGAGGAGCCAACATTTGGTACTTAGAGCTTTGAGTTCCTCTTTGATGCTTTTGCCTGTCGCTTCGTCTGGCTGTCGGCAATCAACATGCCCCTTCTTGAGTTGCTCTCTAAGAAATACTTCTTTTTGAACGACTGCTCGGAGATTCGCTTCTGTTTCGAGGAGGTTTCTGGAAGAACTCCGTTCTCCGTCATTCGCACTTGCGCAGAAATCAATATATCGATATCGTTGAAGGGCTCCTATTTCTCTACTTCGTTCGAGGCGGATTTCCTTCCAGGTCAGTTCACCATCAACAGGATACTTGAGTCTGTATTGATCATCCTGTTTTTGGAAGCGGTTTATGAGAGAAGACAAAGACATATTTGGTGTTGAGGATGGAAAGAAGTCGTCTGCAGTTCATCTTGATGTTACCCCCTAAAAGTTAATTATGACTCCCATATTTGCTCAGTCCTTTCCGATCTCAAAGCGGGTAGCATGTATCTGAGTTTTTTTGATATTCAAACTTCAAACTTCAGAATTAGAGATACATATAATCCATGGATGTCCTTGATATCTTAGTGCCTATAGTGTTCCCCGGAACCTTTGGAAGGGTAGCCCCGGCTCTTACATAAGCACGGATATCTAGGCGCTTTTTGGCGTTGAGCTTCGTTTTTTCCTCTCATCTACTTCTGTACCATCTCAATCTCAATCTATACCATCTTTAAGTGAGTCCAACCCTTCGAGCTGTGAATTCCAGTGTGCATTGTTGCTCGTCTGCCAGATTCCCTAGGGCTACCTGTGGAAAGACTCGAGCCCCTGGAGAGTCTGGGAGCTTCAATGTGGAGCCTCAGGCAGAAAGAGCACGTGTGGTCTTTATGGGCAACCCAACAAGCTAACCCCAATGTAGCCCGGCAACCGAGTTCACCCGCTCCGCCCTGCCCCTCACCATGTTCTGCCGACTGAGGTCAATAACCCCACCTTCTTCCCTCTTCTCTTCTTCTCTCTTCAATTGCACTTCTTTCCACCCCGCTGCCCGATCTTTTGCTTCATCATCCGCAGCCATGTCTAACACCACCGCCTACTTCGACGTGCAGTACCAGCCCGCTGGCCAGCCTGCCCGTAAGTTCCTTCTTCCTTTCTACGCTGGAGGGGTAAAACTCTCTCTGCCCCTCCAAGCCTCACCCCTTTGCTGCCTGAGAATTTCAGCCACCAATTCCATTCGGCATCCAGGCTGAGATCCTCTTACGCTATTGTTTATGTGAATTGATACTGACTCTCTCATTAGCCATTACTGGACGCATCAACTTCAACCTCTTCGAGGCCGATGTCCCCAAGACCGCCCGCAACTTCCGCGAGCTCTGCAATGCCCCCGAGGGCCAGGGCTACAAGGGCTCTTCTTTCCACCGTGTGATCCCCCAGTTCATGCTCCAGGGTGGTGACTTCACCCGCGGCAACGTGAGTTTTACCCCGACGGTAGTTGGTGAAATGCAATTGGCTGACCCGTGACTTCAATAGGGTACCGGTGGTCGTTCCATCTACGGCGAGAAGTTCCCCGATGAGAACTTCAAGTACAAGCACACCAAGCCCGGTCTCCTCTCCATGGCCAACGCTGGCCCCAACACGTAAGTCACACGTTGTCGACAATGCTGAAGCAAAATTAACATTTCCCCCTTTTTAGCAACGGCTCCCAGTTCTTCATCACCACCGTTGTCACCTCGTGGCTCGATGGAAAGCACGTCGTTTTCGGCGAGGTCGCTGACAAGGAGTCCATGGAAGTCGTTAAGGCCATCGAGGCTCTCGGCAGCTCCTCCGGCTCTATCCGCTCCAACGTCAAGCCCACCATCGTCGGCTGCGGTGGCCAGTAAACAGCTCAATTGGGAGGTTTAATTGGAGGTTCGGAGCCTGGAAGTCTTTCTTTTTCCAAGGACTTAGTCCTATCCCTGTTCACGCCGTGCATGGGAACTAGCCAAGGTGGCTTCCCCATTTGCGCACTGTAATCTAGAGTGTCCACTGAACTAGTCATACATGCATTTGTATTACAGGGAACCGATCTTCAACTTATAAACCTGTGTAGACTACTGAATGTACTGTAAGCTAAATTCCCCAAAGTAATGAACTAACCAGAACCCAGAGACATGTAGTTCGGTAGTGATCCACCCCAAATCACGAAATCGATCACCGAAATGACTCTACAAGAATAGAAATCCCCATAGCATTTAATTTTTCCACGTGTCCGAGCGGTATCGCGGGCTGGACTACATCATCGGTACCCCGCGTGGGATGCAGTTTTTTTTTTCTGGGAAAGGTTTACATTTCCTATAGAAACATGCACGATTGATGATTTCTTCTTAAACGGGGGAAAATACAATTTTCTAAGAGAGCCGTACCTTCTCGCCTTCAAAATCTATATGCATGTTTACTGTGTCCTCCATACATCTTTTCACATCCCATCTTTATGTAGCCTACATCATTAAGCCACCATTTTCAATCAACTACAACCCGAGACACTCAAAATGGGCAAGAGAGGCAAAAATAAATAAATAAATAAAAATAAGGCCAAAGTAAGGCAAAAGCAGTAGTCAAGGCGCAAGCGAAAGAGAAGAGATATTCAGATTACCATAGCCCCCTATGAGAAGCCTTCAAAAGACCCAAGCCAAGCATCCATACATATACGCTACCCGTGCGCGCAGAAACAGGAAAGTTTAGACAAAAAACCGGAAGCTAAGTCTGACCTGGTAACGATTGCCGTCTTCAATTTTGAACCGTGGAGTAATCTTCCTAGAAGGTACTCGGCCACCAAAAATACGGAGTAGAATTGCTAGAAGTACTAGAGTCAAATGAATGATAATCGGGAGAGGAGGTTGATTGCAGTCCTAACGCCTGATGGTACTCTAGGCCGTTGGCAGTCTTCATGCGTGCCACCCGGAAACCAAAAGATGACGCGCGGAGAAGCACGCCTATAACGAACCCCTGCAAGGGTCCATGCCATGTTCGATCCGTGTTCACCTCTAAGGAGAACCAATACTGTCATGGTGGACTTGTACAATGGCTTGTCTTCTTTCTTTTTAGGGACGGTGTTGGGCCGGCGGGAGATTGTGTATTATACCACGAATCACACGGTCATAGCCGCACTGTCTATTGACGTGATTAGATACTGTAAAAGGGAAGGTGTGTAGCCAGACTTATACTAGGTGAGAACGCCGGTGGCCGTAATAAACTACGGTTTCGACTTGCAGAATTCTGAGACTTGGTGGGAGGATGGCGGAATGTGAGCTGTTTAATCGTATTGCTGGGCATAACTACAAGCCTGTAGCCATTGATGTTGTCGTGTTATTGATGT